TAAACGAGCATAAAGCAGTCTTGTATCATCACCTACCAACATTTTACCAATGCGAATTGACCTGAACCGGAAAAACTTGTTAAGGGTTCAAAGATCAAACTTGAAATGTTTGATCTTTAAGAGGAAAATACAAAAAAAAAAAGTTACTTTAACCAGCTGCAATTCATAGCATTTTTTGCGGCTGTCAAATGCCAAAAATGTTTTGACCAATGGTGCACTGCCCAGTGGTCGTTTTGACCGTATTTCCGATAAATTATAAAAATGTCAACTTTTCTTCTTCCTCAGTAAGATATCTTTCAAAATGCGCCTCGATACCTTCATTTTAACTGTTATCTGTGAACACACAAACACACAAACGCACAAACGCACACACCCACTTCCATACACACCTTCAGGGAGAAACAGACTATTAACTTCTGGTGTTCCCCACCAGCTCTGCACAACTCTCCTGTGAGGTGCATGACTGTGATAAACTTAAAACTGTAGGAAAAATGGATGAAAAAGTAGGAAAAATGGAAAAATTAAAAAATATTATCAATCGCTCGATTTATTGAAAAAAAAAAAAAAACTCAAAAGTTGCAAAAAACTGAAAGTTTTCATTAACCTGCAGCACTGGCGCAGCGCTTGTTCCATCGCTTCACCGCTACGACAGATTGATACACCACAGTTGCCACGACAAAAAGCAATGCCCTCGTAGGGTACGCCGGCTGGAGTTTCCACAACAACGTTTGTATAGGGCAGACGATTCAGGCCTTCTTCAATAACAAGCCTAATTAAGCGATCGGCGTAGAAGACAAAATCCGAATGATCGGTATCCCTGTAATAAATGCACACACACCAAATACTGTACACCACCAATCGCTGCTAAGGAGAAGATAAGCTTTAAGAAATTCAAACAAAGCACTTAAGAAATAGCATTTTTGATTTATCAATATGCAAATTCAGGCAGATGACCTATTTCCTTACTTATTTAAGGATAGGCAAAAATACGACTAGAAAAAGTAAAAAGAAGTAATGATGTAAATGAAAAGATTGGAAAATTATAA